CCTGGCCTGCTGTATAACTCCTACCATGAGATTGACTGAAGAATTTTTTTTAAAAAACTTAAAACCCCCAAGCCTTTTCCGCACCTTTAGTCCTCCACAACCACCCCGTCTTCATATAGGAAACTGGAGTGTTAGCTAGAAAATTCCTTTTGGTTTATCATAGTGAAAGCATCTTGCCAGGGCTGTACATGTGTTCCTGGATCTCTGGTCCCTTTCTTCATTGTTAACAAATCAAGACGGAGAATAGTGATGGCGCCTCGAAGCTCATTCTTTTAAGTTACAAGATTGTTCTGCTTGTGCCTTTCCTATACTTCCAATCAACTGGTTTGTATCCAGTGGCATAGTTTTTCCTTTACCCTCCCTAACAGAAGCAATTAAAAATACTTCAGTAAAGGTTTTCTTGTAGCAAACAATTTTTTAAAGGAAAAAGTGGTTTTATTTTAAACAAAAAAGGCTTTTTAAGCGTGTGCTGTGTTCTGTGATGTTAAATTGCTACTTAAACCATCCATACCTGGCTACAGTAGAAAGAGAACCCTCTGTGATGTATTATGTTCAGACCCTGAGCCATTACCACTGAGCATTTTCAGAATTATGTAGGAAATTATCTTTAAATCACAAAATGCCTAGCCCAAGACTGGGCAATTGCAAGAGTACACTAAATGGCAAAATTAACTGGTAATAAACTGTGTTTCAAGCAAAGAATCTTCCCTAATGTAATTCTGAGTTTATCAAAGATATTCTAAAGGAACTAAAAACAGACAGGGCACTATAAGTTCTTACCATTCTCTAAATGTAACTTGAAAAGGAGGAAAGATTGATTAGTGGAAAGCTTCCAGACGGCAAGCAAGATCAGTGATCTTTCCTAGTATCCAAATATCACGTATTTGTACAGTAGCTATACTTGTTGAAAATTATTATCACCATGGCCACTACCAGTGTATAATCTTGCAAAACTAGGGATCTCCAAGTAGTGCTGCTTGATTTTTCTGTGAATTTAATCATGCTGACGTTCTCATTCTAATTTTTTAGTTTGGTTTTTTTTTTTTTTTTTGAGACAGAATCTCACTATGTCGCACTTGGTAGTGTCATGGCGTCACAGCTCACAGCAACCTCAAAC